TCCTGGGCACGCGTCCTAGGTCAGTATCGTAGGTCAATCTGTAGCCTATCTCATACGCACCCTGAACGCCTCTCGCGCCTTACGCTCCTTGCGGGTCTTCTCGACCTGTGCACGTCGCATTTGCTCCTCAAACTCTCGCTCCCGCACGCGGCTGTAGTCCTCGAACGCGAGAAGGATGTCAAGAGTGGCAGGCTTCTGCAGCTCCGGGTCGCTCCTTCATTGTTCGGACTCAAGCACAAGCTGATGCTCTTGACGCCAACGTGTAGTGACGTCGACATCGAGGCGTTTGAACAGCGCAACAATTTTGGAGATGCTGCGCGCACGAGCGGCACGCCGGAATGGCAGCGGCCCAGTATGCGCGCCGACAGTAAGGTCTCCAGGATGTCCGTTCGGTTGCGTCTGAGAACCGGGGGCGGATAAGGATGGGTCAGTCCCTCTCAGAGCACGTACTCACACTAAGGCATTGTTCGGTTGTTGCGCCGCCTTGCCCTCCTGCTCTACCTTGTCCAGGAGTAGGAGGTGGACAAGGGCTTTGGCATGCTGAGGTGGGCATAGGCGTTCAGGGGGTCGGACGGATAAGCGGTAGAGGGGGTGATGGTGGACGTGAACGCGGTGATGAAGGACGAGGAGGGAATAGAACGAGCAGCGCGGACGGCGTAAGAAGGGGGGCGGAGGGAAGGATCGACGCTGAGGAGAGGGCGGGGTGGAACGCGGACTTTGTGAGGGCAGTGAGATGAACGGGTGAAGATGAGGGGAAGCCGTCGGGCGTCAACAAGACGGGCGGCGTGGTGGGGGACGTCGTTGTCGAGGATTCGCCTTCGGGGGCGGTCACGCCTCGCCACTGCGCCGCGGCACGGCGTAGCCTCTCGCGGGTGTCGTCGTGGGGGATGATGTCATTCTCGCCCGTCGGCTGCACGTTGATGAACGGCCTCCTTCTCCGTTTGCTCTGGCGGCCGCCGTCTATCGCTGCTGCGCTTGCCCGTCGCGCGCTCCTGTCCACGCCTGGACTGCTGACTCGCTGCTTCTGCCTATCGAGGTCGAGCGCGGCTCTCTGGCGCGCCTTCTGGATGCGGACGGCGTGGTTTCTGTCGATGGCGCGGGGGCTGCAAACCTAGCACTGGCATTCCTCTGGGACCTGAGAGTCGACGATCCTGAAGCAGGCTGCATGGTACCATGGCGCGAGTAGCTAGGGCGCGATACTTGATCTCGCATAGGATGCTCGCCGTCTTGTCCCATTCTACGCTGACGTGAACGCCGTCAGGACGTCTGCTCATCGAAGACATGGTGAGCAGGCGACATACATACATGGTTGCTACTCTTTCCAGCCGCACCGGCGGCACGCTCACGCCCACTCATGGTAAGGAGGCGTGTTGTGGCAGTACTGAGAGTTCTTGCCGTCTTGAAGACCGTAGGACGTCAGTTGCGCGAGCTAGAAGAGGTCTGCGCGCGACAATGGTGACCTTACCTCTGGGTCAACCAGGCAGCGTCTTGAATGCGTCGTCCAGATAACGCGAATGCCGCGCCGTTGCTGTGAGGAAAGCCCTGTGCCCGCGCAGGCAGTCTTGCAGCTCCGCGCACCGGCTATGTCAGTGATTCGAGAAGAGTAGTTCTGACCTCAATATTTCGCAGCGGAAGGACGACGCTTCCGGGCGGTGTGCTTGAGAGAAGGGCAAGGCATCGGGAACGACGCAACTTGATTGCTGTGGGCCTCGTAGCAATAGCCTTCGGGAGGCGATATCGAAGGCGGCGGATGTTGCGTCGAAGCCCCTGCTGCTGACCTTGCACCTGGACTTGAAGTTGCGGACAAGAGCGTCGCCAGTACTGTTGAGCGTGATCGTGCCGATCGCGATTAAGCCTGGCGCCGATGAAGACCAAATAGGGAAGCGCGGCCAGACAATGGGTCTTTAGATACGGCGCGCTCCCAAATGTATTGTGTAGCAGAAAGCAGGCGATGATGGCGGACGTGCTGCAAGACAGAAATAAGTAGACGAGCGAGGGAGCGAGCGAGCAAGTTGAGAACGAAGACGCGGAGCAGAGCGAGCGAGCGCGTGGGTAAGTTAAAAACAAAGACGCGGAGCAGAGCAAAATAAAAAGCAAAAAGTAAAATAGAAAAGAGGAACGGCGCAAGCGAACGGCGTCGACTGAACATTCAGGGACTCGGTGTGAATCCAATCACTATGGACAGTCAAGAACATTTGTTCGTTAGTGTAGCGGTGGAGAATTAAGCTCCGCGGAGCCAACAACCCTGGCACATGCCCGGGAGTCGAACACTCGACTCGCGCAGACCGACCTTCATCATGCCGCAGCACGTTCAACCAGCTAGGCTATATTGACCTAGAAGGTAAGCCCTCATTTTGCTTTATGTACACCCTTTTGTTTCTCGACTTCAATGTATTTTATTATTCTTGCTTCACTCAGCCGGCGTCTCTCGCGACGTCACTATCT